CCCCCCGGTGCCCGCAGCTCACCCGCCCTCACCCCCCCGGTGCCCGCAGCTCACTGGCCCTCACCCCCCCGGTACCCGCAGCTCACCTTGCGCCAGGGCACACACTGAAGGAAGATGGTCAGGGGCGTGCAGAACTTCTGCGGACTGCGGTTGCTGCGGACGCAGCAGCGGCTCTGGCACTCCGAGTTGTGGAAGCACCTGTGCCCATTGGGCTACGGGACAGGAGGTGACTTATCCCAGCACCCGCCACCCACTCCCTGGCTCTTCCAGGGCAGGAAGGAGGGGCCGCCGGTGGTCTCGCTCCTCTGCCCCCCCCGCCCCTGCACGCACCTTCCGCCAGGGCAGGCACCTCAGTAAGATGGTCTTGGGGTTGCACTGCTTGCTGGGGTCCAGGCTGCCGGTGGTACAGCAGTTGCTCTGGCACTCCTCGTTGATCCTGCACGCCTCCCCGATGCCCTGAAACGCGCTCACTGGCTCCCTGACCTGCTCCGCGCTCGGGAGGGGCCTCCCCTCTCCCTGCTCCCCTGGGTCACCATCCTTCGCACTTGGGTTCCCTGAGAACTTTCTGGAACAAACCCAGACCTCGGTGGCTCTGGAGGGTCTGTGTTGGGGGCCCGGGCCGAGAAAGGGAAGGCCTGCTATAAGCCACGTGGATGAAGGTAAACTGAGGCACCGAGGGGAGGGACGCAGCGACAGAGCCTGGGCGAAGCTCTGGGGCCAGCCCAGTACCCGGTGTCTTACAGGGGAAGAAAGAGGCTCAGAGAGGGTGAGCAAGGCGCCCAGAATGGCACAGCCAGCAGAGGCAAGCCGAGAGCCAGGCCTACCCCTGCGGCCACAGCTTGTAGCCACCCTCCAGCCACATACACAGAAGGCGCCGCGTGCGTGTGAGCCTGGTCTTGTGGCTGCGCCTACTGACATTACTGCTTTCAACCCTAACTCTGAATTTTAAGGTAATGACAGTAATCCCATCGCCTGTCAACACAAATAACAGCGTTTTATTAAAAATGGGTATACTTTCTGGCCAGGCGCGGTGGCTCATGCCTGTAATCCCAGCACTTTGGGAGGCTGAGGCAGGCGGATCATGAGGTCAGGAGTTCGAGACCAGCCTGGCCAACATGGCAAAACCCCGTCTCTACTAAAAATGCAAAGTTTCACTGGGTGTGGTGGCACATGCCTGTCATCTCAGCCACTCGGGAGGCTGAGGCAGGAGAATCGTGGGAGGCGGAGGTTGCAGTGAGCTGTGATTGTGCCACTGCACTCCAGCCTGGGCGACAGAGTGAGGCTCCATCTAAAAAAAATTAATAAATCAACAAAAAGGAAAAATGAGCACATTTTTAAAAACAAGCGCGCGTCAGCGCGGCTCCCATGTGGCGGTTCCTGCCTGGTTGGCGGCTGTGGCCCCAGGGCTGCTCCGGGCGCTGGCCACCCCATAGCACGCAGCACAGCCAGCATGTGGCCAGGAAGGCGAGCGTGGCCTTGGGGAGGCTTTCACCTGGGAAGACACTTCATGTGGCTTTGAGAGCCCACTGACAGAAGGTGGCAGCCCCGGGGTATGGGGCCTGTAGGGGCATCAGGGGAGGCCGGCACCCACCTTGTGGGACTGGTACACCTGCTTCTTCCATGGCCTGTGCCCCGCCAAGGACCCCAGCAGCAGCAGCAGCAGCAGTGGCAGCAGCATCCACACTGGGCTGGCCATCGGGCACGTGTGCCTGCAGAGACCCAGGGTCCCGTGGGAGTGTGTCCACGCCCGCCCGCCTTGTCCTGCCCAGCACCTGGCATTGACATCCCTGCTCCCTTCCCTTCCCTTCCCTTCCTGCTCTTTTGCAAGATAGACTTTTTTAAAAAACGGACTTTATTTTCTAGAGCAGTTTTAGGTTTACGAAAAATGTGCAGAAAATAGAATTCTCATATGCCCACCTTCTTTCCCCTGCCTCAGTTTCCCCTATTATAAACATGCTTCACTCATGTGGTGCATTTGTCACCATTGATAGACCTGCAGGGACTCGCTGTCATCGCCTGGAGTCCACAGCTCACTGTGGGAGGCTCGGGCGTGTCCTGCTGTGGGTCTGGGAGTCCATGGCTCACGGCGGGGTGGCTCAGGTGTGCCTGCTGTGGGTTTGGGTGAATGTGTTTTCACGGAACCATTTCAGTATCCCGCAGAGCGGATTTGATGCCCTAGAAATCCTCGGTGCCCGTCTGTTCGCTCCTCCCTCCCCCAGCTGCTGACAACAGCTGAGCTTTTCACTGTCTCCATAGTTTTGCCTTTTCCAGGACCCCGTTTGGTTGGAATCAGTCTGTAGCCTTTTCGGGTCAGCTCATTTCACTGAGTTAAGGGCAATTTAAGGTTCCTCCGTGGCTTTTCGTGGCATAGTGACTCATTTCTTTTTAGCACTGAGTGGAAAATGGATTTTTTTTTAACACAATGGACTTTGGCTTTTGTCGCTGCCTGACCGCCGCCATCACGGGTCGCGTGCCCGCTCCCAGGAGGGGTCTGTCCTAGTCAGCTTTGCCCTGTCGCCGCGGCGTCCCCACGTGGCTGAAGTTGACATCTACACGTGAAGGAGCAGATATACAAACTGGCCTGACTCCTTCACAGATCAGTGTGACCCTGAGAGCTGTACATGGTGCTGCACCGGCGCGTTCTGTGACAGGCAATAGAATCTTCTCAAGTCTAAGGGGCTCGCTCCTGATCTCCCTGAAATCGCTGCCATTTAATTAAGAAAGCAGCTGCTGTTCAAAAGCATCTTGAGAGGAACAGAAAGGATAAGGGTGCGAAATTCTGTCTGAGTCTGATAGAGTCGGATTCACGGTTTGGCTCAATATTACAAGACTAAGCGAGTCCTCCCTCCCAATTGGAAGTATGACTCATCTGCAGCCTCGGCCCTGGTCACATAAATCTATGTACTCTGGCAATAAAATAATCGTTTAACCACAGGAAAAAATAAAAGGATTTTGAAGAAGCCTTTTCCCAGCGGAAAACGGTGCCCTGATGAATTTGAACAGGAGCACCTGCTGTGAGCGGGAGCAGGGGCCTCGCCCTGAGGTCCTCCTGGAGGGGCCCCTGCTGCCCAGCCCCAGGCCACAAGGGCAGAAGATGAGGCAGCGGCATCGCCCTGGGTGTGGTCGGCAGCCAGGGCGTGCCCACTCTGAGCCTCATGCCCGACAGCACTGCCCCCACCACAGCGAACAGCCCCCCTCTTGCAGTTCTGGGTGCGGCCCAATTCATGATCTTTGCTCAAACTGTTAAAATCATTTTGTAAAGTTTTTCTTTTAACAGGAGGTCACCAAGAAGTTCCATGTTGGGCCGGGCGTGGTGGCTCAAGCCTGTAATCCCAGCACTTTGGGAGGCCAAGGCGGGTGGATCACGAGGTCAAGAGATCGAGACCATCCTGGTCAACATGGTGAAACCCTGTCTCTACCAAAAATACAAAAAATTAGCTGGGCATGGTGGCGCGTGCCTGTAATCCCAGCTACTCAGGAGGCTGAGGCAGGAGAATTGCCTGAACCCAGGAGGCGGAGGCTGCGGTGAGCCGAGATCACGCCATTGCACTCCAGCCTGGGTAACAAGAGCGAAACTCCGTCTCAAAAAAAAAAAAAGAAGTTCCATGTTGGGCTTCAGGACTCACTTTTGTCCTGCAAGCATGAACACACAGACACTGCACGGGCCACGTGCAGACACGAGCCCTGGTGCATTCGTGGTGGACAGCCACGGGGAGAGAAGGAGCTCTAGCTGCAGCAGCACCTCCGTATCCACCAGCCCCACGTGGCCAGGACTCGGTCGGTGACCCCACTTCCAACTCAAGACCAGCCAGAGGACCCCAAATACACCCCCGTCCACGGGCTGCCCCCAATGCCCACTGCAGGGACAGCCAAGCCCCAGCATGGCTGCACCACACGGCAGTCCCCGCAGAGGGTCAGGAACTGGAGGGGCAGCGGAAGAGGCAGAGGAATGGATTTCACTTCCCTCACGGGAAGTCAAAGGTCAAAGGTCTTGGGTGGCCCTTGTCCCTGATCCCGGAGCCCGGCCCCAGACGGCTGAGTCATGTGAACACTTTCTCAGAGAAGGGGCCCCGCTCGGCTGCCCGGGCTGGAGTGCAGTGGCAGTCACAGCCCACTGCAGCCTCCACCTCCTGGGCTCAGGTGATCCTCCCAACTCGGCCTCCTGAGGTGTGCGCCATTGTGCCCAGTTTTAAACATAACTTTTCATGTAACTACATAAAAGCAAAATGGAATCACAACCAGAACATTTTTAAACTTCAAACTTGCAGTATCCTTTCTGTACTTGGAACCAGGAAACATTCTTTCCTGGCTTCAAACCTTTCACAGGGCCTTGAAAAGGTCACAGGCCTGGTTTCCAAACTGAGCACGATGTGCCCGACGGTCAAACGGCCCCGCTCAGCCCAGGACAGGCAGCTGCCCGCACGGGGAAAGTCCAGTGTCTTAAAGGCCGCATGTCACCACCATTCACAGCGGCATCCTCCACAACAGCCCGAGGTGCTGGGGTGAAGAACACAACGTGATATGTGTGTGCAGAGGGGTGCCGGTCGCCCGGAGATGCAAGGCAGCTCAGACCCGGGGGCGGCACAGTCGGCCAAGGGCCGGGTGCTGAGGGAACAAGCCCCTCACAGAAGCTCAAATGCCACTCGATCCCACGTGTGGGGTCCCTAATGCTGCCAAACCCAGAGACAGCCAGCGCGACGGTGGTGCCCAGGGCCGGGGTGGGGGAGGGGTGTTTAATGGGGTCTAATCTACCTTGGGGACACATCAAGTTCTGGAGACGAAAGCAGTGACTGTTCCGCACCTGTATAAATGTGCTTCACACCACTGAACCGTGCACTTAAAAACCATTAAAATGGGGGGCTGGGCACAGTGCCTCACACCTGTAATCCCAACAGTTTGGGAGGCCGAGGCGGGCAGATCACTTGAAGTCAGGAGCTCGAGACCATCCTGGCCAACACGGTGAAACCCCATCTCTACTAAAAATACAAACATTAGCTGGGCATAGTGGTGGGTGCCTGCAATCCCAGCTGCTCAGGAGACTGAGGCAGGAGAATCGCTTGAACCCTGGAGACGGAGGCTGCAGTGAGTAGAGATGGCACCACTGCACTCCAGTCTGGGCAACAGAGCGAGACTCCATCTCAAAAAAGCATTGTTAAAACGGTCAACTTCATGTTAAGTGTATTTTACCGCGACAAAAGCAAAGGCAACAGGCAGACCTCACACGTGTCCTGGGGGTGCTGCTGCCCCGGGTGGAAGCTTATTATTTTCAAGTGTTTTACACATGAGGGTCTCTCTTCCAGGGCGTTTGCTTAGAAACCTCTGGAATCAGACACTTCTTTAGTTCCCTGCAGTTATCAATATCTAGCTTGTTTCCACAGCAGCTCAAGCGGCTAAGTAGAAAGCCTGGTGCTAAATCTGGTCAAAGACGTCACAAATCCCCAAGAATCATCTGCAGAACCAGCTTTCATGTTTAAGGATAAGCCCCTGGGGTTGGTGCCAGAACCCCTGCTCCGACTCTTCTGCCCGCCTCTGCAGGGGCCCAGGAGGGCTGGGCCGGGCACCTGGCAGGTGGGGTCATCCCCACAGAGCACCCCGACCGAGGGCAGAGCCAGCAGTGCTGCAGGGTCGACCCTGGGCTCTCGGCCGCGTGTGTCTGTCGGGACTCACACAGGAAACAGCGTGCGGGCGGCTCATGAGACGGGGCCTCCCTTGCTGAAGACGTCCCCGGCGGCTGACAGCTGCCTGCACGTTGAGTGGCCCTACCTGCCTTCCTCAGGTCCCACCGGCTCCTCTGTGCAGAGGTGAGGCGGCCAGGCTGCAGCTTCCAGACCAGATGGCAGCCGCAAAGCAGAGGCGTACACAGAGTGGGGCTGGGCAGCCGGGCAGCACCCTGGCACGGTCGCAGCCGCCTCTTCTTTCTCCTTCCTGTTTCGCCTTCAGTCCCAGGAGAAAGACATTCGTCTCCCCCCCCGCCCCGAGAGCTGCATGTAGGCGTCTGGTCAGGGGCCAAGCCCACAGGGCTACCGACTGCCGACCACATGAGAAGCTGGGCGCTGCCGCCCGCCTCTGCAGCCAGTTGCTGGGACAGTTGGGGCTTGAATTCCCTGGTTTCACCCCCACACTTCCAACTCAGGACCAACCAGAGGACGCCAAAGACACCCTCTCACCAACCACAGGACATCTCACTTTCCATCAGTGGCCCCTGCCCTCCCCACAACAATCCCGGACCTGTGCCCGCCCCCTGCCAGTCTCAGCGTGGGGGGTCCCAAGCTCTGTACTCAGAGCCCGGCCTTGCTCTCGCCTAGGTGGTCTTCATTTATTTCCACACGCATCTGCTTATGCAGTAAACACGGATGGGCTCTTTGCTTGTTACTTATTTGTGATTGGCCACATGCCCGGTGCTGTGGCAGGCTGAGGGGAGCAGGCTGTGCCTCGCTGTCAACTTGGCCTTCTCCGTCCAGCGCGAGAGCTGGGCCTGACGACAAACACTGTGCAGAGCGTGCTGCGTTGTTGGGGCACGACGGAGCTGCCGGGGGACACCACGCAGCAGGGCATCAGGGAGACTTCACAGAGGCACCAGCACAACACCTGTGGCCAGGAGCGTGGACTGGGGGGGATGGGAGAGCACCAGGCAGGGGAGGAGCGGCAGGCACAGCCCAGTGTCAGGAGCAGAGGTGGGAAGGGGACGCTGGAGAG